CTTCCTGATCACCTTCCCCCTCCATACTGGGATTTTGTATGGTTCGATCTTGTGTGTGTCTTGTGCATGCAGTAACAACTGCTGAGTCATGTGCAAGTGTCCTGTTGTCCCCCAGATCCCATTTCACTGCAATCATCCACCTCCTCGGGCTCTTAAACTCTTTCCAACTCCTGTGTTGTGATGATCAATTGTTGAGCCTTGGGAGGGGCAGGAGAGGGTGTGATACTGATCTCCCATTCAGGGTGGGGCATCCCACATTTGTGATTGTCTGCATTGACCCATTTTGAGTCTCTGTGTTAATCACTGTAATTACAAAAAAAAAAAAAGCTTTTCTGATAAGAGTTCAGAGATGCACTAATCTATGTGCATAATGAGAAGTCTTTAGGAGTTGGTTCAATACCGTAACTCATTTTCAGAGTCCCTTTTATGGGGCAGGGCTTAAATTCAGGTAAAAATAGAAGAGGTTAGCTATTCCCAAAATAATATCCATGCCACTTTTACACCAGAAAGCCTATCTTGCCTAGCTGGCCATTATTGTAGCTCACAGAGTTTATTTCTGGGTACGATTGGTGATTATTTCTCCTGTCGTAGGGCACATAATACTTCCAGCATTGTGAAAGCTAGCCAGTGGGCATGAAGCTTCCAGGTCAGGACCAGTTTGATTCCTCCATGTTCTAAAACTCAGTCATATAGAGTCTTCAGCAATAGAGTCTTATCATCAAATTTTGGAGGATAACCTAAAATAAAGCATCACATGATTTCTCTCACTTGTAGAATTCAGGAATAAAGAAAGACTTAAAAGTAAAAGGATGATATTTAGGAATATCAAAGGGGGAATGAAAGGGGAAAAGTTAGTTCTCTAATACAATATTGAAATCTAAGTCATGAAAATAATAATAATTATATGTATAGTGAGTTGTATTCTCAATATCATCACCAAGCATTGCTTTATATTAATGTTTTCTTCTTTGTGATTTGACCTACTATGCATTTATTGAGTAGATTCTGTAAGGGAGGTAGAAATAGAATATATAATAGATTCTATCCTCCAGAACTCATAATCAAAGGAAAGTTAAGTACAGTAAATATAGAATGTCATTTACAAACCCAAGTAAGACAGAATAACAGAGTGGTTCCAAATCAAGTGCCGAGTTCTCACATTTAATTCAGGCAACCCACTGCTTAAGCAGATCTCTAATTTTCATAGTAAGTGATGAATAAATTTATTACTTGACCTTACTACGTAGAAAGAATATACGCTTACATAACTGTAAATAATAAAATACCCCCAAATTATAACTTCTCTGTTTGGAAAAACGTTATATATGTGTAATTAATGGATCTGTTTTACTTCTGTCAATATTAAAATTAGTTTTCTTTGTAAATGTCAGCTAACGTTCAGTACTGCAGTATAAAGTGTTCTGGAGCTGGCTTAATGGCAGGGCATTTACACATAGCCACCTAAGTCTTGAGTCTGAGAGCCAGTCAGCACACCAGGAACAAAATTTCTGAACACTGAGGCAGCATGGCTAAGATTAACTATAAGATGTCATGGATGACTTTAATAGGAAGTTATTTGTTAAAGATTAAATAGAATTTTCTAAGCTTTCGTCGGTCTGTTGTTTGGCTCCTTCACTTAGCAAAAGTAAAGTGGGAACAAAGCTTGTGGCCGTGAGGCACTAAAGAGTCTCATATTTCTTAATATGCTGAACTCTTTCCAAACAAAAATGTACTATTTTGCATTGTACAGACTTCGCAATATAATTTTCAAGACTTGTAAAAGGAATAGAATTTTAATTATATTTCCAAGAATTAAGCATACTCCTTTGATGAAAGTTGATGTGTGTGTGTTTCAGAAACTCATGTTTTTTAAAAACATTGACGGAGTTGTCAGCATTTGGATGAGTATCAAAAATGTTGTGTATTAGTTTGACTATTCATGAAATATAGTAGTTTTCCTGAGGGCAAAAGAGACGAGTTTAAGCGAGAGCCAAGATTGTGCCAGTCTTGTATAAAATGGCACATCTCTGTAATTATGCTGTAATTAATATTGGTATATTTTAATTTCAACATTTGGTTTATTCACAAACATTGGGAATTTGTTTTCATCTTGGAGTTAGTCTAATGAGCCAACTTTCCTTGCTTATATATCATTTTATAAGTGATTTTATAATTACAAATAAAATTGATCAGTTTCATAGTCTCCAAGTTTTATTCCTGCCTAAGTTAGTAAAATGCAGGCTCACCATACTTTTATACAATTATTTTCCCCCCAAATCAGATAAAATAATGACAGTGATAAATGTATAGCTTTAATTCATCAACTATGGTGAAGATGCCAAGGATTTGTGAATTCACAACAAGCAGAAATTTTATACCAATGTTCAAAAATCTGTTACAATAATTTATATTGAATTTTGTTATTTTTAATCAAATTACAGCTATATGAATAAAAATTTAAGATACATTGATCAAATTTTTATTAAAAATAAATGTCCAGATGGTAAAGTCATGTATGTAGGCATATGTCACTACTGGTTGGAATTTGAGCCAGGTGTTTTCAGATATGAACCAATAGGCCTCATTCACAGAGCTGAAATAAAGGCTCACACAATTATAGGGTAGCAAGGGGATATTATTCAAAGCAAAGTTATAATATGGATCATAAAGAAATGTGCTGTCAAGCATGGTGGCAAGTCACAAGAGTAAAGGCACTTAAAGCCCCTGATGATTTGTCGGGCAGGGATTTACAATGGAAATAGCACAGGCGGTTCTCTATTTTGATTGGCAGGCTTAGATTCTGTAAACGTATGCATCACCAGTTACTTATAGACATAGATGGTAAACAGAGGATTCTCACTATTAAGAGCACTCAGAGGACGCCCTTTGCTTTACGGCTCATGCACCACAGTGTACTTGAGGCTGTATCCTCTCCCACCATGTACTCAGGCATAACTAGAATATGAATGAATATGGGGTACCACATTTCCTTTATCTACTCAGCTCTGTGGTCTAATGGTTATTAAGGGGAAGAAGATATATTCTATTCTTTAGAGCAGGGTGCAGGGTGTGCCTATAGCTCAGTTCAGGTGGAGATCTTCCATTGTGGGGGAGAGGGTTGGGTGTAGGTAGTGCCTGTGGGTAAGGGCCTCAGGCTTCTAGGTGCATTATTACCAGAGGGGTGTGCACACAGCCCAAAACAAGTAGAGCCCCTAATTGCCAAGCTATTACTGTGCTTGCCTCTCTTACATCCTTTTTCTTTAAAAAAAAATAGTTTCTATAGAAAATAGAAATGACTACATTCATAATAAGTAGTTATGGGTCATCACAAAAATGCCCAGTGTTTACTTAAAGGTAGTCATGACTTTTAAAGAAAAAAATATCATGTTATAAAAATGAACTCCAGCAGTGCAACTCAGTGGAAGAACGTATGCTTGGCGTACAAGGGGCTCTGAGTTCAATTCAGAAACAGCAACAAAGAATCCCAAACCTCTGTTCTTCTAGATAGAGTGCTTTTAGATTTAATTAAATTGATTGTTTATCTCAAATCATTTTGCGTACTTAATATATAAGAAGTTCATCGTAAATATTTAAAAACCTGTGTCTTCATCCATTTTTTTATTATGGGGTTTTGATTCTCCAATAACATTTGTTTTTCTATAGCCAGTAATACTCCCATACCAAGTTGAATAAGATAGACTCCACCTGTCATAGCTCAGAGCCTGGCCAAAGGGACAAATCATTACATGAACATCATTTTTTTAAAACCATAATAAGCAACAGGGAGTCAGGAGAGACATAGGGAGGCGAAGCTGTGTTTTCTGAGGTCCAGGTTGGTGGCAACAGGATCATCAGGAGGGCTTGCAGACAGGCAGATCATCTGACAGCAATGGGAATGGAGAGAAATGGATTCAAAAACTGAGAAGGCTTGGTAATTATATTTGAGGAATGAGTGTGAGAGAGGAGAGGGAAGAGTGTGAGCTTGATTTCTAAATTGAGCAACAAGACTGTTTAGGTCCTGACGTGGGGAATGCCAAAGAGGAGTTAGGGAGGGTTGTACATCCAGTGTTCAGATATGCCAAATTCCAGGTGTCTGTGGGATATCCAAGTGGGTGTGTCACACAGGCATTTGGCTGTTAGATCTGCATATAGATAAACTAAGGCCATGTATGGGTCTAGGAATCATCACTGTAAAAGATGTGAAGCCCACAGGTAGAGGAGGTCATGAAGACAGGGCAAACTCTGAAGATGAGTGTAAAATTCCACATAAACCCCATTTGAAGGTTCAAAGGGGAAGGAAGAAGCGTTAGGAAAGACCAGGAATAACCAACAATAATTGCCGAAGATGAAGAATAGCAATATAGTCAGAGTTTCAGGTTCAGCAGGAAATCTTGTAATAACGAATACTGTAAAATTCAAGAGACTTGACTTTCAAATTAACAGCACCTGGGATTTCCTCAACATTTTTTATAATCTGAAAAATAATGACTTTCCTTCATCACTTGATAAAAATAAGAGAAATCATTTAATAATATGTAAGATACTAAAAGGTGCATGTTATAAATAGACATATCTAAAGCCAGTGACATAATCATGTGTTTTCTAAAAAGATACAAAGCTACTCTCAACAAAATTGTGGTTTTGTTTATAAGGTTTAAATACGTAAAGGGTACTTTTTCTGCTTGCAAATATTGTTAGTGTCCATGTATGATAGTTTGGCAATATTGGGGTTTCAGTAATGAAAAGATTTTTTTAATCTCTTGCTTGATTCAGAACTTCCATTTACTCTTTTCTGGAATCAGGTCCAAAAATAAGCCAAACAATGAAGAGCCATTATCATTATTAATATATTATTAGACTGATAGACTGACCTTGGAGGAGCTCAAATGACTTAAATTTGTTTGGTCTCATCCCTGAAATGAGTATCAGTTATCACTACATTCTTTCATGGCAGACGCACTGGAACTAGAGTGTTAACATGTGTTCCGTTTCCCTCACAGGGCTCCATAGGGATACAAGGCCCCCAAGGTCCACCTGGAAAAGAAGGTCAGAGGGTAAGTCAATGAGGAACAGCTGGGAGAGTTTGCTAACTAAGATGATAATTATTTTTGAGCACTAATGAAATAAAATAAAAATATAGCAAACAGGTGCATGAAGAGTATCAGCTACCAAAGACAGACTTACGATGAGATATTTTGACAGAAGGTTAACATCAGAAAAGTCTACATATTTCAAAATTGGCAGCACAAATGTACAGATGATTATTTGTACAAAATCAATTAGTCCTAATTTGGTCTAGAGTGCTTAGCCTTAGTTTTCATCCTTGAGTTAAGTTAATGAGTATTTTGGTAGAAGTCCATCCTAGTCACACATTCTCTAAAAACTGTGGATATTAGCTATGCTCTTGACCTAAATTAACTAATTGACGTTAGTGACTCTTTGTAACTCTCATTTAATTACTATTTATTGATTCTAACCAAGATGAAATAGGCAATAAATGAATATTAGTTGTAATTGGAAATACCACAATAACTCTATCCCTGGCCAGAGCGGCGTCTCTGTGTCTCCAGCAAAGTGAATCCCTGAAGGATTCTGGCAACTGGTCCGCTTTGCTGGGACTCTTGACACACCATCCATGGGTCATATTACCGTTCCTGTTGATTCTGGAGGCTCACATGTTTTTACATGCTTTCTCATATGTGTGCTTATCAAGTCTTTGGGCTTCATGAAGCAGGCATTATCAGTGCTCCAGCAGTGTGGATGAGGGTTCTGTGACATGGTTTTAAATGACTTGACTCCTGAAGTAGAGGTCATTTTTTCTCTCATTGTCCGGGTATATTTTAAATCATTCTCATTCGTTCATATGAATCTCATTTCTACCCAATGTAAAATAATCCAATCTTTCAAATATATCAGTGTACTTCAAATATCTGAAGACCAATTTATCAAGGTTTGCCTTTTGCAGGTTGATAAAGAAGCAATTCTCTTTATATTATTTCCCCTCTATTTTATGTATTTCTGAGCCCACTGCAGGCTAGTAGTTTGTCCCAGGAAACACTTATTGACCTCGTGTAGGTATCAAGAACGGGACTAGAAATATGCACTCTTTTTAGGTTACAGTGCAATATGTCAGGTAAGCCCCATACCGTGGACAGTCAAAGCTGCTTCTAGCCTGGGATGATGCTTTGGGCTTGCACGGCCTTGTGCTCAGGTAAACACTGCCCTCTTTTGTTTGAATGAAAACATCTGCCCAGTCATGTTCTCCCTGTTGTGCAGTTGTTTTCTTATATCACAGTGTTAGAACAATCCTTGTTATATTTCATCTTCTGGATTTGGACACTTTTTCCCCAAGGATTTTGTTGTTGTTTTAAAGGATAAAAATCACAGTTTCCAGTCAAGCAGCCCCCATCTTTATATTATTGAAATCATAAATAAATTCTAAACAGAAAAGGACCTGCCAACCCAGGCAATACCAGCATAGCCTGCCATCTTCTCATGAGCTTGTGACATGCTAATCGAAGTACATGCAAATGCATGTGAATTCTACTTCCTTCACACCCACATTTCTTAATTTGTCTTGTGAGATGATTACAAGAGACTTGTCAGGTGCTAGCTGAAATGAGAAACTATTCAAATGAAGGTTTTGTTTTGGTTTTTTAAATATACTTCAAATTAAAATTGTGCCTTATCAAAGCTTTTATTTCAGGAAAAAGATAGGTCAAAGGATAAATGAAGCTGATGTATCTTTCATAATTGCAGAAGCAATTATTTGAACTATATAGCTCAATCACTATTTTAATGCAAATATACCCCACTTATCAATGTGTGTATTCCAGAACATTTCCTATTACTTCCTTTTTATTTTCTGTGGAAAAACAAAAGCATCAGGCAGTAGATAATGAAACAGGATTTTACAGTCACTGTTCTGTATAGCTTGTCCCTGTTGCCACTGCTCTCTCAAAAATGCCATGTATTTCAAAGAAAATAAGTGGCATTATCCATAGTAAAAATTAATTTCTGAATGTGTCCAATAATGTTTCCTCTACCATATGAACTACTTAGACAGGAAGTGAGTTAACGTAAGGCATGCACTCTTGTAGATTTATGTTTATGTCCCTAAGTGTCAACATTCCTCCTCTTAATGAGAGCCAAGTATCACTCTTCCTCAAAACACATTAACTATATGAATGGGTGAGATGTAGACGTGTCTGAATGCATGTGCATACACATACATATACACACACATCACACACATACACAAATGCATAAACATACTTACAAACATGCATGCCCATCTTCAGAAATTAAGACTGATAATTATTCCATTTCATTGAATTTTGACATAGAATACTATAGAAAAATCCATGACTATAAAAAAATATATTGATTCACTGTCAAAAAATGTGTAAATTTGATTGCAGGTTTTTGACTCTTGTTAAGATTGTTAAAATGGAATATAAAACATGTGGCAAGACCCCAGGACTTAACTTCTAGGCACAATGTCTTTAAAGAGAAACATTTAATGATATATGAATCATTAACTTCTTAGATTTCCTCTGTATTTAAACATATAACAATATCTCACAATTAAGATAAGTATAAATCACAAGTCTCACATAGAGCCATACTTTGAAAAATGCCAAATATTGCAGAAGCATGTATATATTGCTACAGTTATTTTTATTAAGACACTGGGTGTGTGACATAAAGACATCTATTTATTCAGTGACAACACTACTTTTATGGGTACTTAAATAGAACTTTGTTTGAATTTTAATTAGTTGATTTTATTTGTCTTTTAAGCTGTTAGACATTAGCTTATAAAGTATTCATTTAATAAACTATAAAATTAATGTTCTTATACTAAAAACTAATTTTAACTTTAACAATATTCTATAGCAATGTGTATTTTAGAAGTATGGGGATGTTTACACTCACTGATTTTCATCTTTGTTTTATGCCATCAATTTTACCTTAACTTTTTTTGAAATCTTGTAAGTAAAATATTTGATTCACAGTTTTAGTCTTATACACTTTATTAATCAATGCAAATTTTAGAATTTAGCTAATAAATATTGATCTTATGCTATGAGTACAGTGTGTTTGAGAGGAGTGAGGGAGGACAGCCTATGTGGAGGCCTGGAGAGTATTCAGCCCATGATGAGAACAGAGGACGAAATGGGAAGGTACCCAGGACACAGCAGGACCAAGAAGTCAAACGGAGAGTGCTTTAATATTTATGGAGAGGGGCTGGAGTGATGGCTGCTTTTCCATAGGACCCAGGTTCAATTCCCAGCACCCACATGACAGCTCACAATTGTCTGTAACTCCAGTTCCAGGGGACCTGACACTTTGCCACAAATGCACATAAAATAAATTTAAAATAAATTATTTAATAATTTATAGAGGATTCAGTAGGATTAAAACTCACATCAGGAGCTATAAAGATGTCTCGGTGGTTAATAGTTCTTTCTGCTCTTACAGAGGTTCCTTGTTCAGTTCTCAGTACCTACATAGTGACTCACCATAGCACAACTCCAGATCCAGGAGTTCGGAGCCCTCTACTGGTCTCTACAGGCTCCTAAACACACATGGTACATATAAAAGTTATATGGATGCATGTGCATTCGCGTGCGTGCACGCACATACACATAGTGTAGCAAAGTCAGCAAGGAGATGTTTGTTAAGAGAAACAGGCAGAACCAGTGCCAGTTGAGAAAGGAATTTTAATTGATTAATGGACAAGGCATTAGAAGAGAAAATGGAAGAGGTGAGGTAAGGAAATGAGAGGGGGTCATTGTGAGGAAGCAGAAGCAGCAACGAGGATTGAAACCGAATGGAAGCCCAGAGAAGCTTCCTGGAAAGTGACGTAGTTCAGATGGCAGGTCACGTGTTCACAGATGCTAACATGAAATGCCTCAAGAGAACTGACTTTGATAAAGATCCCCCTGAGGCGGCAGATTCCCTGAGGAATTCTTTATAATGCAATCCCTCAAAATATAAAGAGAACAATAATTACTTAATGTAACCTTCTACTTTTCCTATACACACATTGAATACATGTCAGAGCAATATCCATTTAAATGTGAAACTAACATGGATTTTTATAAAAGAAATCATTCCAAGTGTGAAAATGAAGATTTATTAGTGAGTCAGCTAGTTACCGAGTTAAATGCACTTTGCATGATTAGACAAAGATGACATCTCATTCTTACTCTCTGTTACCAGAATCTAATTTTAATACGAAACAGAAATACTCTTTTAATTTTCTTATAACTTTCCCCCCTTAGTTACATTCTCAGGTTATCCTGGGTACCTGTGCCTGTACTCAGGCTTGGAAACCTTTGTCTTAATTGCTTCCTTTGACATTTTGGTGCAGATTTTATTTTCCCTCACAGAACTAGACCCCAGCCCTATCTAGCATCAGAATGCCTCGCATTCAACAGAGCACACAGAACTGGTGCTGCTCAGACTCCACCCCATTGCACTTGCCTAGATTTGGTGGCAATGGAATGAGATCATATTTCCTTCATGAAGCTAGAGCCAGCAAAATTATGGGAAGTGGAGGGTAGCACGTCTGCCTGCTTCTCCTGTCACAGGCAAGACGGTGTTTCGTGTAGAGTCGCATGGGCTCTAAGTCCAGACTGATGGAATTTAAATCCTGGCTTTGCCTCGAACGGGCTGTGTGATCACAAGTGAGTTCCTCTATCTCTCTGCACCTGTTACCTCATTTAGAAAACGTAGAGTATAATACTACCCACGAAGGCCTGCTTATAAGGAGTACAAGGTGTATGTGCCAGGAATCACCATCATTCTCATCTCCAGCCTGGAGAGTCAGAGGTGTTGGGGAAAGGGGAGGCAGGGCATAGCACTGATCAGAACTTGATTAGCGATACTGTGTAATTAATCAAAAGAAGTCATTTAAGAAAATGACTTTTCACTACGACTTCACCGAACCCACATTACTTCACTTCTCACTTGAATTCTTGCTTTATCTGATATCTGTCCCCATGTTTTACAGCCCCACGTTAAAGACCAGTATTTATGTAGCTTG